CATTGATGGACGCAGAGTTGACCCCTAAGTATAGTTTAGTAATCAAAATCATAGGTCTCCTTTGCTTATACTGAGCAAAAGTGAATAACACAATATTATATATTTGTGTATGTAAGGATACACACTGATTTTTCATGTAAACAGTTAGGCTTAAACAAATCCTGTTGGTGAAAATTTATGTGATTCAGATGCTAAAAGGGGCAAATAAGAATCCAAGTTCAGTTCAGTTGTTTGCTGCGGTTCTTACGTTTATTTGACATTTTTGTAATGATGTTATTAAGGATAACATGTTCATTCCTGCAAAGAAGAAAAAACACAGTTAAGTGCATTTAGAACAACCATAATTTCTTTTACATCCTTAAATGTCAGGGGTTTGAACAACAGTACAAAGCAAAAAGCAATTTTTTTATTTTGTAAGGATCAAAAATCACAATGTATCTTTTTACAAGAGACTCATTCTGTTGCGACTGTAGAAAATTTTGGAAAACGTAATAGGGAGATTACGCCTTCTTTGCACATGGAACATCACACTCAGCAGGAGTCATGACTTTATTCAATAGATTTTCAGGCAACATAATTGATCACAAAGGAGATATTGAAGGCCACTGGTTAATGGTGTTAGTGGAGTGGAATGATAAACATTATATTTTGGCGTGTGTGTATGGATATAACAACCAAGAAATTAATGAAAACTTCTATTCAAAACTAAGCCAAAAAATAAATGAATGGAAAGTAACGTATAATACAAGGAACGTAATATTGGGAGGGGACCATAATATAGCCCCAGATTCGTGGTTAGACCGAATTCCTCATAGAAATTCCCAACCTATTTATAGTGACACTATACTATCCTTATGCACAAAAACGCATATTATTGATTATTGGAGAACACAAAACCCAACATCAGTTCAGTATACATGGTATAATTCGGCAGGAAATGGTCAGTGTTCAAGATTTTATTACTGGCTGATATCACAAGAGATATGCAATGACATTTCAGATTGTAAAATAACAGCCTCCCCGCTAACGGACCATTGCATGATCAGTCTTGATATTAGAACATCTAAGCAACAATTTAAGTCTTCCCCTATATGAAAGTTCAATAATGATCTACTACAAAATGATGATTTTTGTAATCAGATTAAATCTCTTATGTCGGAGGTTAAAAAGCTGGATATGAACGGTACCAGTAAATGGGAATGGTTCAAGTTTAAAGCCAAACAAATAGCAATAGACAAAGGAAAAAATTGGCAAGTTTAAGAAAAAGAAAACAAGAAGATTTAATTGATTAAATTAATTCAATAACAAGTAGTACACAACTATCCTCAGATAATGTTACTAAATTAAAGTCCCTGCAATCCCAATTAGATGACAAGTATATAAAAAAGGCATATGGAGCATATGTTAGATCACGAGCTAGATGGATTGAAAAGAGTGAAAAGAGTTCAACATATTTCTTTGGACTTGAAAAACAAAGACAAACTAAGAAAAAAATAAGTAAACTTAGGACAAATGATAACATAATTGAGGACCAGAACTTAATCCAAGAAGAAATCTGTTTATTCTATTGCCACTAATATAAATCAAAATTCAACAAATCAGACTGTGACCTTCTATTTGAAATAATTGATGATAATATAATAAATGTGGACATTGAAGATAAGCATATTCTGGAAGAAGATTTATCTGAAATAGAAATGGAAAATGCATTAAAACAAATGAAAAATGATAAATCACCAGGGATAGATGGGTTAACAACTGAATTTCTGAAACATTTTGGGCAGACATAAAAACGCTGCTATATAATGCGTTTTTGGAATGTATTAAAACAGGATGTTTGTCCCCCGCTATGAAAACAGGATTAATAACCCTACTACCAAACCACACAAAGACCCACTGAAGCTAGATAACTGGAGACCTATAACCTTATTATGTAACGATTATGAACTTCTGGCTTTAGTGTATGCAAATCGTTTAAAACATGTAATTGGAAAACTTATCGGAGAGTACCAAGCAGCCTTTATTAAGGGAAGATATATTCAAAATCACATTCGACTGATATTAGATATGATTGATTACCATTCGTTCACACATCCAGAAAACCTTGTACTGTTCATAGACTTTTTTTTAAGCCTTTGACACAGTGGAACATGAATTTATGTTCACAGTGCTTAAAAAACTCGGATTTGGAGAAGGTTTCTGTAAGATTATAAAAATGTTTTATAATGATATCCATAGTTACATTTCGCTCAACCCTGGGATAACACCAATAATTAAGATTTCACGTGGTATTAGACAAGGTTGGCCTATTTCGCCAAAATTATTCATTTTATGTACACAAATGCTAGCGCACCTAATTATAAACCACCCTCAAATTAAAGGAATCACTATGTTTGATTATGAATTTAAAATAAGTCAATTTGCAGATGACACAGTAATCTTCTTAAAAGACAAATCATTAATTGAAAAAGCATTAGATATAATATCAATCTTTTCTAAAGCCTCAGGATTATGTCTGAACTTAAAGAAATGTCAAATACTATCTCTTCATCCATGTGTTGAGACAAATATAGGCTCCATTCCTGTCAAAACTGAAGTACAATACCTAGGTTTAATATTGTCCAAAGACAGAAATAAGAATGAAGAACTAAACATAAAGAAAAAAATAGATGGTATGACAAGATCTCTCAACCACTGGCTCATGAGAGATCTTTCTATCATTTGCAAAATCTTATTAACAAAAGCATAGGGCTTATCAAAATTAATCTATCCTTGTCAGTCTCTTTATGTTCCCCCCAATTGATAAAAAAAAGTTAACTCAATCATTTTAAATTTTATATGGAAGAACAAGACACACTACCTTAAAAAGTCTGTGATGGCAAAAGACTATGAACATGGTGGACTAAAGGCTGCTGATTTTGAAGCCATGATTGGTGTACTTAAGTTAAACTGGATAAAACCTTTTTTAATGCAACCACATTCTATATGGTTCCACATACCAAAATATATTTTCCAAAAGGTTGGAGGATTAGAATTCCTGTTAAAATATGACTTTGAAATATTTAAATTACCAATCAAACTCTCTGACTTCCATAAACAAATACTGCTCTACTGGAAAATGATATTCAGCCACAACTTTACACCGCACAGCTCCACCTTGTGGAATAATAGAGCCATTGTAATTAATAGGAAGACTATATCCAAAAAAGAATGGTATGACAAAAAGATTTTATTTGTGACAGATTTGATGGATAAAAATGGCAATTTGTTACAATTTGAATGTTTTGTCAAAAATTTTAATTTTAAATGCTCTGTTAGAGCTCAGTATTCCACTTCCCTTAAAATTCATGATTAAAAATACCTTGCTTAATTCAAATGTGGTGATTAAACTTCCTGAGTTGAAAATTGGCAAATTTAAATTAGGTGAACAAAAATGTAATAAAGTACTTGGAAGTATGTTAAAAGAAAAGTTATTCTATGATATTGACAAATCAACGAAAATAAAAATCACAGGAAAGGAAACTACATTAACAAAGCCATATTGCAGCTATCTTAAATGGCCAATTGCACCCAAGTTGAAAGAAATTCAATTCAAAATAATACGTAATATCTATCCTGCTGCTGAAACATTAGGAAAAAGATTTAATTTTGAAGTGAATCAGTGTGTTTTTTGTATGACAGAATGTGAAACTATTGAGCACCTTTTCTTCTCGTGTTAAGTAACAATTGGTTTTTGGGAGGATGTTTATCGATTATTAAATATTGAGAGAAATGATGTATGGCTTAACAAATCTAAAAAGTTGATCTACATGGGTGCTCTGCCAAAAAAGATATCCAAAAAAGTGATTATTTTCATCATGGGAAAATACCATATACATAAAACTAAATGGAAAAACAACAAGCCTATCATTAACCATTTAAAAAATGAAATAAAACAATTTATAACATCTCTAAAAGTATTATCAGAAAATAACCAATCTATAACTGAGTTGAACGAAACAATGTCTGAGTTTCTTATTCTTTAAATTACAGTCCAATGAATCAAACATGTTTGACATATAATGCTGAAATATCAACCTCTGAACATTTTATTTTATTTTTTATTCTATTTTTTGATTATATTTCATTTTTATTTTATTAATATTTTGCATCATAATTTATTTTATGGTACAGGGTCATGTGGTAATTGTTGCAAGTTCTAAATGTAATTTTTTTTTCCTCAAGTGAGGTCATTTGTATTTGCTTTATTCTTCAGTACGTTGAATGTAGGTTACATTGTAAACTGAATGTATGTGAAAACGAAGATTGAAATAAAGTTTAAAAAGAGGCTCTACTGAGGCCTTTCCACTGAGCTAGCTCTGTGGTCACGACACGTGGGTCTGATGCTCATTTATTATACAGAATTTTAGGCTTTTAATATACTTAAACAGAAGAGTGAGAAAAAAATTCACCCCCCTCAGAGTTGTCATGAGTGTAAACTAGATCATTTAAACCAAAAACATGTTTTGGTACCAGGCTGTAAACATGTTTATTTCTGCTGTGAAATTGGTATTTTTAACATGGGAGTCAATGAGGATTTGCTCGCTTCTGACACCAGCGGATGAGGGTGGAACTGCAATTTTTGGTACTTCCGGATGAATTTCTGAGCCGTATTGTGGGGGCTTGATTACAATCAACACATTTTTCGAGAATGCTTAAAACATTTTCTAATAAAGTTATTCAGATTCATATTAAGTCTTGCATGAGCACAGATGAGATCTGTCATTGTTGATTTTCTTGTTGAACATAAAAGCACACTGATCAACACTGAGAAGGAAACTTTCTCTGAAAAACAATAGAAACAATTTAAAAATTTCTTTTAGGATAATGAGAGGACCGTCAAAGGCGGTTCTCTTCAGCGTCTTCCAGATAAGTCCTAAAATCATGAATAGCAAAACTGCTGAATATTATTTGTGGGGCAATAAAGTTAGAATGTTAATCCAATATAACTGCAGCAATAAAAGGGAATGTAGGAGGTAAAAATACAGACCCTTTCATCTGAAACGTTCTGATCTGTTCATCTTGCTGAAGAGATCAAGATGACGTCATGGTCGTTGTTTCTAATGTCGGGAGCTCGAGCTGGGTTGAAGGCCGCTTGCTCAGCTGGGACACAATTTGTTCAAATCTGAGGCTCAAGGTCGCTGACAGTTACCGGTACCTTGGATTTCAGGTACTGTTTTCGTGCTAGATGACTATGAAGGGACTCCGGCGGTGTGTTACTAATTTTATACTCGCCACGAAGAGCACTAGTTTGGATCGGCTGATTATGCTAGCAACACAGCTAACGTCCGTCTGCTAAAGCGTTCGATTTAAAAAAAGAAAAGCTCAGATTCGTTGGTTTGTTAGTCACTAAGGACCTAGTTGTTTGTATTCTTTTCAGTGTTGATTTAACAGATGGGCACAACTTTAGTTTTGTCCGTATTTTTTCCGTCGGTATGCAGTGTCAGACAAATCAAACGGCTATCAAAGCTGTTTGCTAATTTTACAGTGTTGGCTCAGGACGGGTGTTGTTTTCTTCTAAAGATGCAGTTGGAAGTTTCAGTTGGTTTTTAAGCAGTTTTTGCGTTTATTTATTGTTTTGTTTGTTTGTTTGTTTTGCCGAACATTGTACAGCGTTCGGGCAAATTAAGACGCCCCCCCGTGACATGTTTTTTGTGGACACATATTTTGTTTTTTGTTCCTTTTATGGTAACTTTTTGCCCCTGACAATTTGCTTTGTGGCGGAAGGTTATTATTGAGAACTAGCTTGTCTTTTTGCATACTGTCTTGCTTCTAAGATGTGAATTGAGTGATACTTTCTTTATAGTTTGAAAAAAAATGCTTTAGTGATATAAGTCTCTAACTTACAGCCTTTAACGCTTTACGACAAGACACGAAACAAATCAGTCACTGATTATCTGAGTAACTACGTTTTGTCTTAAGTCACTTTTTTGTACATTTGCTACTTTAAAAAATTATATTGAATTGTAAAGTTAAGAATAATTTGCTGAATAATTGGCTTTTGTCAAACCTTTTTTTTTTATAAAGAATATTATAATCTATGATGTGTCTGTATTGCCAGCTGTCAAATAAACCCTGAGTTTGTTTCCACTAAGTTCTTCTGCCATAGAACCAGATTCCACGAAATTTATGGATTACTAGTAAACAATTTTTGACTTTTTGAACAATTTTAACTCATTTTGCCACATTTTCAGGAATATCCTCTCCCAGTCCCCTTTCCCCTCTGAGAGCATGGCTCAGGAGACCAATCAGACGCAAGTGCCAATGCTTTGCACTATGGGGTGTGGTTTCTATGGAAACCCCCGCACCAACGGCATGTGCTCTGTCTGCTACAAGGAACACCTGCAGAGACAACAGGGAGGTGGCCGATCCAGCCCTCCAGGAGAAAAGGGTAGGAGGATGGGAGATGTACAACCAACAAACAACGTAGATGTGTTAATGCAGTTCTCTTGAGTGGAAAGAGCTGGAACTTAACACTGGGGGTCACTCAAACACTGTTTACAATTGGGAGAATGAGAGAGAGGGAGCTCAATAGCTTACTAAGAGGTTGGATAACATTAGCGGCCTTTACTTTGGCATCGGGTAACAAAAAGCGGCTTCTGTTGTTTCTCCTGGACATCTGGTTTTGATTGTCAAAAGCAACAAGAGTCCTATTATATACTATACAAAGCAAAGAGTCATCTGCTTATAGGCTTGGAATAATAGGTGCTGGAATGTTTAATTTTTATTTTTTTGTCTTTTCCCCTCCAGCTGCTACATCACCATCAGGATCACCGACATTAGCTAGTTTGACTGTGGACACCACAACCTCAGAGCTCAGTACAGAAGTAGCAGGAACCCCACCAGAGGAACAAACGCCTAGGTATACAGATGGGCTGCTGAGACAACTACTCTGCTCAATAAACTGAATAAACATAACAGTTTGTCACAAATGAGTTCTAATGTACAGTAAAACGAATTTGTTTTACAGTTTTAGCTAACAGAACTAATAATAATGTAAAAAGTACCATATTTGATACGTGTCAGTATATTGAACATAAAATTTATATTTGCACTGGTGTTTCAATTGGCGCACACAAAACTAGAAGTTGCATATTGTGTACTTTCTCCTCAACTCCATTATTGTGTAATCAGAGGGTGGCTATTTTATTAATTGTGATGTGTCTTTAAAATAATGCATCTCACAGGGAAGTACTCTGTCTAATTTACCTGGCTGTTGGATTTTTTTTATTTTTTATCTCTGGGTGAAATCAGTATATGGGAAGCATCATTTCTAGGGTGTCTGAGTGAAAAACAGTTGTATGCCTTTATCAGCCAAACACTGGGTTTGTCTAATAGGCTCTAAAATATTACTTGCATAATTGATAACATTTTTCCAGGTCAAAAAGTAAAGCAAAAATTTAACGATCGCTCTGTAACAAAGCACCTCGTGATTTTTATCTTGAGAGGCGCTATATAAAAGATTGACGAAGACGAAGAAACAAATACTTGTACAGGTCTACTTGTCGGTAGTTAAAACCAAATGCTTGGAAACTTTGCATTTTATTTTATTTCTGTGAATGTTTAACCAATCTTAAGTTGTGTATGAATAATTTAAAATAAATTGTCTTTTTTGTGACATTAGTCCTAGCTCCCCAAGTCCAGTTACTGAACAGATGACGGCAATGAGCATCTCCCAAGATTCAGGAACTGTGGATTCAGATCGAGCAGAAAATAAGGAAGGAGAAGAGGAGGGTACGTCCAGCAGCGCCGGTAAGAATTGGGAGTGTGTATCATTCCCTAATCCATCTCTGCCTACTATGTAAATGTATATGTATGTAGTAATGTAATAACTGGTAAACAATGGGCTTTCCAGCTCCTCTGATAACATTACGACTGGTTTTCTGACCATCTAAACTGGGGGCATCATGGACATATTGGACAAACAAGACCACAAGTTGAACCTGGAGTAGAAGAAAAAACACAGAATCATGTTTTAGGGAAAATATTGAGCGAGGAGACTTGATTCCAAAAATAGTCAAATTCCTGGGATGAAATTAGTGTTTTCTTGATTATGTCATTTTAAAAGTTTATGAATGAGTTCAGTGTAGTGAACTGTTCGGCTGAAATGTAAAACTATGGAGCCGTCTGTTGCATAGAACTATGAACTATGAACACTAGTGAGTACATTTACAGACAGTTTGCCTGTATGCATGTGAAGCATATGAACAGGTCTGTTTCCATCTTGAAACAACACACTTCTATGATGTGCCCACCAGTCTCTGCCTGAGACCAGAGTAGGAATTGTTGGTTGGGAACTGTTCCTGATGTTTGGTTTAGTTCTAGAATTTGACCTGTTTATTTTTAACTCATTATTTGCTCTCTGAAACAAGTATATTTTTGTTTTTGTAAATCCTCAGATCCTGTGGGTGAAGGAGCACAAGCCTCTGACGGTGAACAAACTCCTGATAAAAACAAGAAAGCAAACCGATGCTTTTCTTGCCGAAAGAAAGTGGGCCTTACTGGTAAAGAAATTGTTTTGCGTCCATTCAAGCTATGAACACTTCATAATGGCTACTGTGGTCAGTAGGTGAATGAGGCTTGGGCTTCCTACAAGTCTTCACCTGACAAATAATTAAGCTTCAATACCTTTTAACCTTGACAATGGATGCCATTGGTTAGGGCTGCTCAACTAATCGAATTTTAATCCCAATTACAATCTTGAGTTTTGAACGATTATAAAAACAAAACGAGCCGATTATTTGCTTCTCCCTTTTGCGCGGCTCCGAGGTTGCAATTCAAGCGCTCCTCCCACGGTGTTGCCAACTTAGCAACTTTTATGCTTTTTCCAGCAGCTTTTCAGACCCCTTTCTTGACTTTTTAAATCTTAAAATTACCTAGTGAACAACCTAGTAACATTTCTGGTATCCCTTAGCTACTTTCTGGATAACTGCCATCGACAATTCCTGCAGGTTAGCAAAGCACTCAGCCTGCGCTCTGGATCCTCCTTCAAGACATTAAGGGAATGATGTAGTGATGCGTCGGTCGCCAAAGAAACGGCTCTCAGAGCCGGCTCCCTGTTGGATTAACCGGAGTGAGTAACACACACTGTACCCGCAGGCTCCTGAGCCGCTAAAGGCAGTAAAATGTGCACGCGCGGCACGCTAATCACACACTCGCAGCTTGCCCTTGATAGCTGTGAGACCGGGTTGGGGGGTTGCAGCAGCGCACCTCTGATCGCTGTGGCTGGGACAGAAATTACATGAACTGATGAGACCGGTAAATGAATAGTTTAGAAATAAGGTAGAAACTGATAGAAATAAGTTAATCACACTGATAAATAACTAATCTCTCTGAGCACACGTTGCTGGTGTACACTCTACAACAGCACCGCTTGACGGGACTAAAAAAATATGCTAAATTTTGTAAACGTCACTAAAACATAAATATTTTTTATTTCTGTTATAAATGCCACTGTATAATTCTTGCTGCCAGTATTTGCAAGATATTGTTTGGATATTTGGATCTGGTTAGGCTTGACTGAGTTAAACCTCAGCCTGTAGCCATTGGGTCATAAATGATGTGCAGGTATGTTGGCCTTTTCATACTAGGAATCAGGAGTTGTTTTAGTGATTATCTTGTTTCTTTCTTTTTCTTATTTGTTTTTGTCCTGATTGTGCCCTGACCAATTTTATGACTGAAGAATTAAATAAACAATCAACAATAAATGAAAAATTGTCTTAAATGATCAAGATCTCAATTTCAGTCACAATTTTCGTGATTGTAATTTTTGCCATAATCGAGCAGCCCTACCATTGGTCTTTCTTTGTTCATTCACAGTTCACACTTTTGTTCAAGTCCTAACACACAAATTAGATTATTCATTTTACAGTGCATGCTGCTTGGTTCATTTTTATTTCTAGAGGAGGAAGTGCATTAAAGCAGCCACTAGGGCAGGGTTGTTCAATCCTGGGGCCTCATTTATCACCCGTACTTATGAAAAGATCTGTGCGTATTTCGTGTGTGGGAATGGTTTTACGCATTGTGTGGTATGTACCATTTTTGTACTTGTGCATGAAAATGTTCCTAAATGTAAAAACAGCTCTGACCATCCGTAGGAACGGCATCTAGTGGTAGAACGAGGGAACCGCACTTCTGAAGGTCTCATCATCCATGCGTGTTCCTCATTTACCCAGTATGTAGTTATGTCGGTGGAAAAATGTCTTTTTCGCATAATTGGTGCTAAAACTAATAAAGGACACATGTGACTGACAGTAATCGGACATTATATGATGACTAATCTGTGTTATTTGAGGATTTAACAGTGTGTGTTCTCTGGAGGGAGCACATCCTCCTTGAGCGCACTGATCTCAAAGGAAATCCTTCTGATATGCTGGGATTTGGGACCTTTTGTGGCACAACAGACAAACCTCATGAATCCGATTCCAGTTCATATTTTATTTTTCAACTACGAGACCCCCCCCAGAACCTCTTCTGCTCCCCGATCATACACACAACCAGACTCAATGACAGCTCAGAAGAGGCTGAGGCTGCACTCTCAGACATTTCCAAATGAAACTAACTCCAAAAAGAACGACTCCTTGAATGAAAATGACGTTTATCAAATCCATTTTTATCTCTGACAGGAACCTCTCCTTTGTCCTGACCGCGTTTATAACATCTGCAACTTGTTATTATATATATATATATATATATATATATATATATATATATATATATATTGCGCATTGGCAGCCAGTGTTTCGATCTCGCTGTCAATAAAGTTTTTCTTATTTTTTCCGGGAAAAAAAATACAGGGAATTCCCTCACATGCTGAGGACGCAGCATGACCAAATATGTTTAATTGAGGGCGTTTCTGTGTGTAAATGACAGTGAACGGACACGAGCACCTGGGTACGCACAGGTGGGATTTATCATCGGACGGTTGCGGAGGAACATGCGTACGAGAGGCCAACGCACGTTTCATAAATCAGTCTTTTGACTGTTCGTACACACATTCTAAATTTCGGTCGTGGGGGGGAATATAGGATAGGTTCTACGAACGTTTGATAAACGAGGGCCCTGGTCTTCAAGGGCCACTGCATGTTTTTATGTTTCCCTTCATCAACACACCTGGTTTGAGTCAATGGCTCGTTAACAGGCTTCTGAAATGCAGAAGAGATGATTACATCTTTGAATGAGATGTGCTGGAGCAGGGGAATGTCAAAAAGACACAGAGCTGTGTCCCTACAGGACTAGAATTTAGTAGCACTCCTTTAAGTAGGGTTGGGCATCGTTTGAATTTGAATGATTCCGATTCCTCGTTTCGATTCTGATTCTTTCAAGTGACAGGATCCAAAAACATTACATGTTTTAAATGAGCCAGCTAACCACACATCTTACTTGATGAAATAATCTGAAATTCAACATGAATTTTAATTACAATAACATCACCTTTGACCACAACCAAAGTATGGGAGCTGAGGAAGCCTCTGGGGTGAGAGGCAACATAACCAGAAACGTCCAGCTGTTTCCAGGATAACCAATCACATGCTGCAGCAACGATTCAGTCAGAAGGGAAACTGAAACTGAAATGTAGCTGCTGTCGGTAACAATCTAAAATATATAAACATTAGTTCAAAAATTAAAAGTCCCACAACTTTGCGTGTTGTGAGATTGTTTTATGATTAATATTATTTCTTTATTATCCCTGTGAGCTCCTAATGGGCAGAACCCGGTGTCGGTCGTCCACCACAGAGAGAGGTCGATCTAGCACGATGACTTAAATTATTTTAGAGGTTACTGTTCGGCCTTCTAAGGGTCACGCTCACCCAGACGGGTGTTGATGAGTGGCTGCGTTTAACTGTGGATGCTCTGTTTGTGTTTTTATTTTTGCAGTGAGCCAAAGTCACCTCACTCCACCAGGAGTTTGTTCTTTAAAACTTGTATTAAATCCACTGTGCTGACGCATTTTATCGAGCTTCCTCCACGCTGTATTTTTTGCTGCAAGATGCAAAGTTTACATGACAAAGTAAAAGGTCAACGGACGCGTTTGTTTACATTCTTGCCGCTGCTCGCCTGCGAAGTGTGGGGGCAGGGAGGGGGGACGCGATGCTGCTCTCAGGGTCGCTGCATGATAAACATGACATGGTTTATCACAGGAAGACCTCAGACTTGAGCCTGATTTATACGTCTCCATCAGCTCAGCGACAGGAGAGTCGCAACGCCATGATGCGTAGATGCAAACACACTGCAGCAGACCCGCGGAGGGTGACAGAGGCATGCCCGAGTTTTTAACTGTCAGCACACCGCTGCCTTTAAATTTGTCAACAGCACTGCCATGTCCCCCTCAAGAAAAATAAAACAAGTGCCAAAGATATCTAGTGGAAGAAACGGAGCAGATAGAGGAATGTCTCGCAGAAGAAGTCCGACAATGTCGATGCTTACACACTCATGGCTGAAGGAGTACAAAGACATGCAGCAAATGTTTTATTCCTAGAAGAAAGTTATGGGGAAGTGGATTTGGAGGTGGGAACTGCATGACGAGGTGGTGGAGAATGGGGGACAAATTTGTTGGTGCTAAAAAGTCTTTGAAATGCATAAACACAAAATAAACACCCAATAGTAAATCCACTATACTCAACTAGAGATGTGACTGTAATGGTGGCAGAACACCCCAAAAAACACTCTTGTCCTGGCAGGGAAGTGCTTTGCAACACTCCCCTAGTGACGGAGAAGTCTGAAGGGAAAGAGTGTGTGTTGTGTGTGTGTGTGCGTGCGTGTGTGTGTCAGACTTTATTCACATTCTAAGGTGCCCTCCTGTTATCGTGCACTTTTCTTACTGGCGTTTTTATGGCAAATAATTAGTATTTATGCTTATATCCTGAAAACAAAACTATCAGACAATTGTGAGTGAATTTGTAACTGTGTTCTTCCACTGACCTGTTTGCTTCTCCTTCCTTTAGGTTTTGACTGTCGCTGTGGTAACGTTTTCTGTGCCATTCACCGTTACTCTGACAAACACGACTGTCCCTACGATTACCGGAGTGCAGCGGCTGCACGCATACGCAAGGAGAATCCCATCGTGGTGGCTGAGAAAATTCAGAAGTTATGAGGACCAAGTGCAATAAAAAGTCTCTCTGACTTTGTGAATTTGACTAGTGGCGACTCGGATGGAAACACCTGATATCATGGCTTCATTAGTTCATGGTAGTCTAGGGCGGGCGGGGTGGGATGAAGTGATTGCAACAAATACCCGGACACTCTCCTTAAACCCCCTCCCTCTCTCTCCGTGTGTGTGTGTGCGTGTGCTTGCGTGCGTGCGCTCGAGAGTTAGGGAGAGAGCTGTAGGGGCTTGGTGGACATTTGTATAGCTGTGGGGAGGGAAGCCATTTTAATTTTACCTTATTTTTTCATGGAGTGAACGCGAGAGGTCAATTTTTGTACAATTCTTGTGTTGTTGCGATGACATTGGGAAAAAGATGGTAAGGGAATGTGCCACAGCCTGAATATGATACAGAGGAACATTAGAAGGGTTTAGAATCACACAAACATACAGATTTCCTGTGTCAGACCTTTTAAGGGCTTTGGAATAGAAATGTCTCGTGGACAGATACATTCTGTCAGCTTCTTATTATTAAATCAATTTTTTCTTTCTTTTAACTCCTTTACTCTATAGATTACCACACATTGAACCCCCAAAGGCTCTGCGTTTTCCTGAAGTCTATATTGATTCATTTGGGAATCGGGTGCATGATAGTGGGAGGGGAGGGGGGGGGGGGGGGTGAGAACCTTGACATAACTGAGTGAATGAATTATCTTATTTCCTTTGTTTTAATGAGTGTATGACATCAGAAGATCTATATTAATATATTCTAGTTAGCTTGAATTGTGTGATTGCATTCTATTTATTTTATATTGTTTGGCTGGTCTGTGCTGGAGGATTGGCAGCATGTGTCGGCAAATCAGTAAGGTTTGTACTTATCGATTATGTTGAAGTAATTCCATTTTTATTATATAACCACAGAAGTTAAAATTACAACCCTCTCACTTGAAGTGGAGTCCAGTTTAGCTTTTCCTATCAAGATCGTGCAGGTAAATGTTTTGTTTGTGGAGACGAAAGCACAACAGTCAACTGCAGAGCACAGCCTCTGTGCCACACCAACTTAGTTTCGGTCAGCATCTTGGTCATTTTTCAGGTTATGTGAAGTGTATACAGAGGGAAAAACATGCCTTGTTTGAGTGATGAGACGTTCTGTTTAAGGCGGTGTGCTTTTTCTGTTTTTCGGAGTCCGGGTAAAGCTCCGTGTTGTTCTAACCACCAGCAGACCACTGACGCATGCTGAATGAAAACTGACCTGGGTCGCAGTTGCTCTACATGTAACGTTCTGCTCAGCTGCAGTACAGATTGTGGCCATCCCGTGCTTTTACAATGTGCTCCGATTCAGACAAGTCCTGTAAAAAGATTGTTTCTTGCTAGCTTCATCTATGAAGATGGAACTTTCATGCATGTTAGCAGTAGAACGGATGCGTTACTCTGCCGACTGCACATGTTGAAATGGAGCTTGAATGTTCAAAAGGCCACTCAGCAGTAGCACAATGCATGGCTGGAACCTTGAGGTTCAAGTTAACTGGACTCTACAGGTGTTTTTTTTTTCAAATGTAAATAACATAATGCTCTAATTCATACAGTATAATCTCGATGTAGATTTTTGCCAGGTGATTAAGGTGGTGGATTAAGGTGAAGAATAGTACTAAGTGTATTAAAGTGCTTTTCATAATTATCTTTATAAAAAAAGTGCCTCAATGGCACTGCTATGTTCCCCTAATTATTCCCCGTTATTTAGGTTATTACATGTCACATTCAGTGTTTTCAGTAACAAGCTCGGAGCTCATATCCTCACCTGTCTTCTGTTCTACAAACATAGTTCGATTAACAAACTCCAAATTTCATCTTTCATTATTTAAAGCTCCCCTGTAAATGTTGCTTGATCATTTAATATTTATGATAAAGGAGTAGAAACACTTCAAAGAATTTGCAGGGTGTGTTGTTTCCATAAAAGACAGCGTGTTTTGTGCTGGGTGTGTGTAATGCTTTGCTTGTGGTAAAAGTATTACACTTTGGGTCTGGGTGGGTTTTGACTCCGTTTGGATTCCCGTTTGTGTGGATGATGTCTCGGCTTGCAAAAACCAAGGTTTTCTACCTGACAGGTTGAGAATCTGTACACTCTTAACTGTGATTAATTTATTCCTTTGTCCCACACCTATAGTGGAAAATGGAAATTCAGATGAAGTGGACCTTGAACAGTGAAAATGTCTAAATTTGGCACCCCTCACAGGGACTAGTGGTTGGTGCTAGGTGCCTAATCACAGAATCCTCAGACTCGCCAGGTTACAAATGTCTGACTTAACTGCAGGATGCACGTCCGATGATTAGCATACTGTGTAAATCTTTGCTTTTAAGATTTGCACTTGTTCCTAATGACCGCTCACATCAGTTCCCAAACTCTCAACGTGATATTTTTTAAACAGATGTGAGCAGCTTGAATGTAAACCACCACAATTCACACAAGAGGATGTCCATTAAAGTATCTGGTGCAAGCATACCTGTGTATTGAAAAAAAATAGCTGTTAATGTCTTCAACATGCAAGGGTGTTTCCTTACTAATAAAAACCTGCAAGCTATGATTGCTGGTTCACCACAGAGGTAAATACAAGACCAGAGACCTAGTATGTCCCTCAGCACTCCAGTCCCCCAGAAACACCGCCTGATATTTTTTGTTGGTTCTTGTTTATTTTATTTTTTTTTTCAGAGTTAGGATTGTATGATGCATAAGAATAAGTGTAAATCAATAAAATCACAAAGTTTATTTTAAATTACACTAGCCTGTTGTATTAATTATTCTTGTGTTTGAGCAAACATAAAGCTATATCTACTAATGTATACTGACACACCAATAGCAGCATTGTGTCTTTAGACTGGGGCTTTTGTAAGCCTTACCAGTTGGTGTTTGGACTCGCCACGATACAAATACAACCTTGAGGCATACAAAGAGCTTCAGTGGTTGCTGTCATTACTGGCTCAAAGCTGGTTGTTTGGTTTCTAATCATTCCTGAGTGGATAAAGACTGGTACTTCACTGTAAAATTCTGTTTAATTTTTAAATCTCACCTAAAGTGCAGCTTTATTTGATTTCACAAATAACAGATGAGTTGAATGCATTAAACATCTCCATGAGAAATCAATGTTCTGGGGGCGTAACTGAGTTCCAGTGCCTTCAAAGACAGTGAAGTATTGTTAAAATTGTTTTAAAGCTGGTTGAATGTTATGACTAGAGTCATTTACATTTTATGAAAAACATGTTTTCAAAATGATGTTGGTTCACTTCCCTGTTTTCTGCTGTGACGGCATCTTTCTTTTCTTTATATAACTTCTGATAATTAAAGTCAGGACTCCACCCACACACGTTCACTTAACTGGCCTGGTTAGTCACCACATTACTCCACAGAGAAGATCACGACCAAATCTCTAAATGAGAAAATGGCTTAACTTCAGAGAGAGGAGTTTAGTCTGTGTTTACACCAAGTTTGATCACTGCCTCATTTATTCAGTCAGTTCTCTCAATCAGAAATGTTTGAGATGGAGTGGCCTTTTCAACAATAAAATTGTCATTTGTTATATAACTCAATAGAAATAGAGGTGAAGAGCATTTATGATGGCCTTTTTAATATTTTATAAATGGGTTATAGAAATATTGAGTTACAACAAATATTAAAAAAATATTCCTGCAGTTAGTAGTCATCATGACTAAGTCATGGGTTAATTTTAAATGTCAAAAACTAAAATGTGTTTTAGGTGTATATTGGCATTCAAATTACCTATCACCAATGACTGAGAAAAATATTCAACTGAGCTCAAAAGAAAAACAAAACTACACATTTCATAAGAATTGAGAATGTTTGATATTTTAGATCGAATTACATTAAAAAGCTGAATTTTTCATTTCAAAAAGCAAAAACTTGATGTCTAATGCATATTGATCAACTTTTTACTTGTAGAATACACTTTGAGATTACTTTTAACTTTAATTATGACAATAATTGTTTTAGTTAGATGAATGTTGTTATAGACATTTTAAACATGAATTTTTATTAAAGGAATGCGGTTAAATTTAATGTTAAAACGACTTGCCACACACCTGATACGATCACTGACAAGTGAGACGTTCTGCTACAAACTTCGCTGTTCTCAGCGCTGAGTAACTGACTCCGTTCACACTTCCCTCCCTCGTGTTGAGTTATGCGAACCTTATTAATGGAAGATAACGATTTGGCAGCAAAGGTAAAATCGTAAAATGCGTCATTTTTTTAACAACACGTCGTCCCCTCGCTGATTACAAGGTGCGTCATATCCGGTCAGCTGTCGCTTCCGGATGCGGTGAAACGCCAAAGACGAAGGAAAACACTACACGGACATTGATCACTAAAACGAGAGGACGCTGACCGTGAGGTTAATGGGGATACCAGGACTGTCCGAAATGGATTTATGGAGACAAACTGAAACGTTTGAAACTTGATGTTAGCGGAAGTAGTCCGCGAAGGAGCCTTGTTTGTACCAACTAGCCGTGCTTATGTCCTGCTAGCCGCTGTTAGCTAGTGCGCAGACAAAAGCTTTTCTCTGTGAGATGATACAACTTACTGCTGCTTCCCTTCATTTATCACCTGCTTTCGAAGAGGTTTATAATTAGTTCGGATCCGAGAGTCTTTTATTCTGCGTTTGAACTCCGTTAAAACGCTTCAACTTTATTAATAAGACGCGAATTAAAACTGACTTTAGTTTTTGAATAACTCGCAATCGGAAATCGTTCGTAAACTGTTGGGGAATGGGTGGAAACTGGACTTCAGTCGCCTTCAAGAAACGGCGATAGTTCGTCAATAGGCAAACGTTTCCCTGTCAGCTGGTTGGCTCCTCTTTCTTTTCCCTGTTCTGCCAACAGGACACCTGAACAGCGGTGTCCTGTGTTTGAAGCTTATTTGGAGTATTTTTACCCTACTTTTATCGGTTTCTTAATTGTTTGTTTTGTAAACAAAGACAACTTCAACTCAACAGGTAGGTCTATATCCTCCACTGTGCTTATATTCTGCTATAAGTGTGTGTGATACTTTGAAAAGGGTCTCAAATGTGTATATCTTATAGTTTACCTGCATAAATAGCTACAATTCTTTACTCATTAGGAGAGAGAGAGAGAGAGAGAGAGAGAGAGAGAGAGAGAGAGAGAGAGAGAGAGAGAGAGAGAGAAGAGAGAGAGTGAGAGAGAGAGAGAGAGAGAGAGAGAGAGAGAGAGAGAGAGAGAGAGAGAGAGAGAGAGAGAGAGAGAGAGAGAGAGAGAGAGAGAGAGAGAGAGAGAGAGAGAGAGAGAGAGAGAGGAGAGAGAGAGAGAGAGAGAGAGAGAGAGAGAGAGAGAGAGAGAGAGAGAGAGAGAGAGAGAGAGAGAGAGAGAGAACTTTCACTGTCCATGGTTTAACAATAAGATTTGCCCTCTATCACACTATATATCCAGTCCATTTCAAAAGTGTAAAATATTTAAATTAATCATGGTGTTTTTGGTTTGAGACTCCTTTTTTATCAAAGTCAAGTGAAATTATTCAATTATGTTTCTCATCTTGCTAAAAAAAATACTCATCTATCCCACCCTCCTTGTAAGTAAGGTCTTGTTGTGTTGCATTGTGATTGTAGATTCATTTGGTACAATGATGGTGTTGTCCTCCCTGTGCACAGTAAAGGATGAATGGCCTCTCTATCAGTGAGCTCTGCTGCCTCTTCTGCTGCCCACCTTGCCCAAGCCGCATCGCGGCCAAGCTCGCCTTCCTGCCACCAGAACCCACGTACACCTTCCCTGCCAGACCCTGAGGCGGGCTCTGCCGCGCCGGGCTCAACCGGGACATTGAGCCTGCGGTCCAGGAGTGGAGCTGCTGTCGCAGGAAGTGGAGCGTCAGGAGCTGTGGAGGGAGATGGAAGCTTCACCTGACGGAGCGAGCCGAGTTTCAGTACTCTCAGAGAGAGCTGGACATGATGGAAGTGTTCTTCACCCGCTCCAGCCGAGGGAACAAGGTTGGCTGCATGTACATCCGCTGTGCACCAAGCGCCAGGTGAACAGTTTGAAAGGTTTTCCTACTTTTAATAACCGATTGTGGTGTTTCACCAAGCTTTGTGTTTTTTTATACAAAGTGTTTTATCACTAGTGTATAAACAACCTTTTTACTTGCCTGGGCCGCTCCAGGTCTCCTTCCTTTTCTTGTTTCCCTGTTGACCCCGCTGAGTCTGGTTTTCTCTTCCTCCTTTTCTCTGTTAAATTTCTTATTTGTTTGGAAGTTGATTTTTAATAATATCAGTAAAAAGGTATTAATGTTTTTTAATCTCACAGTTTGTTGTTATTGGAGGTCCGTGGTGGTTGGTATGGTGCTGGTTTAAACATTAAGCAGTATTTCATTAACAGGACTCTACATTTGGTTGTGACAACTGCCCTGCTGAAATAAGCTGTTGCTGATTAACTTGGCAAAGACACTGAGAAGTTACCTTTTGTAGTGTTTTTGTGTTGAAGCTCTTGTTTATCAACTCTTGAGCTAAAAGAGCATCAGTGATGTGGTGGTCATCCAAAAAATAAAAATAAACACCTTCAGGGGGATTTTGAACCATTTGTTCTAGTTAAGTGTGTTTACTGCACAATCACAAGGTAGAAATTAGGCTAACTTGTATTTATGGAGGGGTTGATACTTTTTAAGTTGTGAAAGAGCATTTGTTATAATATATCTTCTGAATTTTGTCTGTTCAGGTTTACTTTGCTTTTCTCTCATGTAAACGCCATCGACCTGGGCCAGATGAGCAGTTTCTACATTGGCCTCGGCACTCGCATCAACTGTAACATCTTTTCCTACGACTACTCGGGCTATGGCGTCAGCGCCGGGAAGCCCACAGAGAAGAACCTCTATGCTGACATAGATGCTGCGTGGCACGCCCTCCGTGCGCGGTACGGCGGGACAAAAACAAGCCCACATGTTCTTTTTTTAAAGGGATGGATTTCTGTTTTCCAGGAACAGTCCCCCCCCCCCCCCGTCTGTTCAGATTTAGTTTTCTTTTTAAATGTGCACAAATTAGGATCGTGAAGATAGGAGTGAGTATTTATGTCAATGCATCAAAGTGAAACCACACAAGTAGGTTAAGATGGAGATGAAGTGAAGGTAGGCTGATCTGTCAGAGCGTCCACATCCAGAGGATGCGTCATCTAAACCTGAGCAGAGAGACTCTTCATGGTCTGCACTGCCACTTGAATGCAAAGCCATTTTTATATGCTCTCCTGCAGCCTGTCAGGATGAGCTGAGCCCCTCTGAAGATCCCAAAAGGGTTGACTTGGCAGTCTTGCTTCTCCCTGGGAACAAGAAGAAAAATGCTTCTGTTTTAAAATGTTTTTGAATTTAAAAACTCGGTTATTTAAGTCTTTCTCTTTCAGGTATTGCATCACCCCAGAGAACATTATCCTGTATGGCCAGAGTATTGGCACGGTCCCCACCGTGGACCTGGCGTCCCGGTATGAGTGTGCCGCTGTGGTTCTTCACTCACCTTTGACCTCTGGTATGAGAGTGGCCTTTCCTGAAACTAAGAAAACTTACTGCTTTGATGCTTTCCCCAAGTAAGTCTGCAGATATTTAGTTATATATATATTTTTTTAGGAAAGATGTAACTGTGAAAACGATTGTTGTGTGTGTTATGCAACCAAAGTCTTGTTGGCTGCAGCAGTTCTAGGAAATCTCTTTTGTTCCTATCTCTGAGTATATTATACACCTTACTTTTATTGCATATTAACAACAGTATAGCCTGAGATGTAATTTAACAGAAAAAAAAGTATTTTTTTCTTCTGAAAAATCATGTCAAACTGTCTTTAAAATCTGACACTTTTTCTGTAAGATTTGAGGGAAGCTTCTTGCAATTTTAAGAACAAAAATCAGAGAATCCATTTCTAGAGATGACTTAATTTTAATTATATAAACTGTAGGCCTCTTTGTTTGGGAATCGGACTTTCTCTCACATGCACACACAGTGTTTCCCTCGCTACTTTGCGGTTCGTTTATCGCGGATTCACGACTTCGCAGATTTTTTCTTTGGAGCCTTATTCAAGGGAAATTCGCCGATTTGCAGTATTTGTCACCGATTCGCTGTATTTTTCTATGCAAAATATCAAGAAATTCCTGTTTTTTTCATCAATTTCATCATAAAATGCACTTTTTGTAATAAAACTATTAAAAAACCAAGTAAAAATACAGTACTATGTAAAGGGAGGGTTTTAAAAGTCTGAATACTGAATACATACCTGTTAAATAAATACTGTAAATATGGTGTCCCTACTTCGCGGATTTTCACCTATCGCGGCCGGGTCTGGAACGCATCTACCGCGATAAACGAGGGATCACTGTACTGTTAAATCACCGTTTAACCCGATCTTTGATGTTTGCATGTCTCTATGTCTATGAGCTGACCCTGTTATTTGTGTTGCTAGTATGACATTTGTGAGCTGCTTTTTGGCATATCTACTTTAAAATAATCTTGCTAATAAATCAAACCTCTTGGATAAACCATCAGAATATTGAGATCTGCTACCATCATTGGTGAGGTTACATCTGGCTGCACTGGTTTTGTTGGAGTTTGTCGAGGGTCAGAAGCAGCAATAAATCAGATTGATTTTTTTTTTCCCCTCACTGGGATCAAATCTGTGCTCCAGATTTTTAGTATGTAGTCTAGATTTACATTTGTTAATGCTTAATATGAATCAGTGGTTTTATCACTTAAAACAAGTCAATATTTCCCTTTTTTTTTAAAACCAATAACGGTTATTTAAAAGAACGTTGCTACTTCCAGTCTTGTCTGCAGAGCACTGACTCCTTTCTGAGAGCTGTGCAGCTGAAACATGCCTTTTCTATTCCTAACATCTTGGTCCTACTTGTATTCCACCTTTTAGCATCGAGAAAGTGTCAAAAATCACGTCTCCGGTGCTCATCATCCATGGGACGGAAGATGAGGTGATTGACTTTTCACACGGCCTGGCCCTGTTTGAGCGCTGCCCTAAAGCCGTCGAGCCTCTCTGGGTGGAGGGAGCGGGACACAACGACATCGAGCTGTACAGCCAGTATCTGGACCGTCTGCGCCGTTTCATAGGGCAGGAGCTGGCCATGCTACACGCCTGACCTTCTAGACTACCACCATCACCATCATAACTGCCATTTTTTTTCCTTAGATGCTCAAAGCGTCGCCTCTCTGTGTCGAAGATGGAAACGAGCTCAATTACGTTTGATTTGCCCCTCGGCTGACTACGACTTCCAGGAGGGCTGCGCTCTCTGGTCTTAACGGGTCTTTAATGGAACACTGAGAATGAAGGACAGAAATGTGACCAGAGGACCGTGTTTGATTCTGCCTCACACCAAGTGAACTTCTTTACCGTGCAATAACACGGAGAGCTTCCGCAGGGGAAAAAAAGGCTTTTGTTGATGTTAAAACGAGACAACGTATCTGGAAACGACGAGAAATCACGTGTTTTCTAGGCTACTTGTACATATAGTGTGTGTAACTTTAATATCTGCTGACTAAATAGCGGAATAATTGTGAAGCTCTTGGAGTTTCCGAACTCTAAAATGGAAAGGTTTTGTTTTTCTAAAGAACAAATGGAAAACTAAATTCCAATGTTCCGTCTACATTCATTTACCACTTTTATTTACTAGACTGGTAACACAGACAACTATAATCAAGGGCAAACTTCAGAATATGATAAGGAGTCCAGTTTAAGATTAAATTCTGCTGGTGTGTAGTTTTTGGGTTGGCGTGACATTTGAACTGCATTCTTTTGGAGGGTGGATGATATTTTGTCTTATGTGTAACATGGGAGTGGGACACATCTGGTGGTTGGTCAGGATTTCATTACAAAGTAATATTACAAACATGGATGTGGGCTTTTCTTTAGTTTGAACTCTTCTGTTTTACTCAGGTAACCCAGTTGTATACATTGGGGTCGGTGTGTTTGACACTTTTGTCTTTTATGCTGTCGGCTAAATAAATAGATAAATATCATTAGAGTAAATAATTCTGATAAAGTTTCCTTTTTTTTTTCAGTCTAAACCAAAGTAAAGAAAATACACTTTATTATTCTGACCAATCAAACGATGGCTGTGTAATTCTTTATTTCTCATTGGGATTTGCTTAATGATTCTTTGAGAACCATCAAGAAAATGCTACACCTCAGTAATTATTATTTTTTATAAGAATGTTTTATTTAATATTTGCAGCTCAAAGTGAACGTTGTCACAAAACCCCAGCTTATCAGATTTTAAAGAGAAAATTTTCTGTCTACTTGAAGCATTTATCCATGTCTGATTTTGTTAAAATTTGAATGAAACAGGATTTGCTTGCAGACCTGGAAATGTCAAACATTAATGCAAACTTGTTCAGATATAAAATCAGCATACTGAGAGCCACCAAAGTTTAAAACCGTAACCACAATTATTGTATTAATGACGTAAAATGATTATTTTTAGTTTGTTTTAACTTAATGATTTGTACTGGCTCATACAGATACAGTATTATTAATTACTACAAATATTGTTGAAGTTACTTGTTAATTTCCCAGACTTTAGGAAATGTTGTCAACCAAAGTTTTTCTGTTTCAGAGCTTTATCTAGTGTGAATAATGTTTAGTATCTTCACAAGCAACATGAAAATATTTGATTTTCCCTTTTATTTAATTGTCCTGTTTGATTTGTTGTCTTGTTTGATATATTTGTCCTTATTTTGCCCAAACATAAACCAAAAATGCTAACTGGCTTATTCCTGTTGTAATCCTTTTACTGATTTATGTTTAATTAAAGTGTGTGAGCATTCAAAGACTTGTGAAACATCTTACAAGTTTGTGGATTTCTTCTCATGTTAGTTTTTATTTTACTGACAGACTTTAGTTTTTAAAGATTTTTCACCCAAAGATGAAAATAAGTCAATAAAACAATCAGAAAAAATATTTTTTTTCCCTCTTAAACCTTAGACAATTTTGTGTGCTTAGTCTTTGACACAAAGGTGTGTGTGTGTATAGATTGACAGATATTAAATGGTTAAATGTGTTGCCATCTGGGTCAAAAACAAGTTCCGATTATTTAAACTAGTTTAAGGACTCTGGCCGACCCCTCCCATCTAAACCCTGTCTGGCACCATGTTGAATTGTGGGAAATTGAGACAGATGGATCTTAAGCTGCTGCCACTCTTTTTTTTTTTTCAGTCGACTAGATAAAACAGTCTGGTGTGCTCCAATGCTCTTACGGATTAAACATGGCTTTGGTGGTAAGACTGAGCCGCTGTGGCAAATACAAAAAGCCTTCTGTCCTGAAAGGTGTCAGAGGATTCCACGACAACAAAAGAGTCAAAGGAAGCTTTGGTCGCTCCTCCACACAGAATGGAGACGGTTTCACTGAATAACGGTCTGAGTTATGAAAACTATGCTCGGCATGTTTCAGCTACAGTTAACAGACAGGATGCGGAGCTGAATACTACACGCTGTTTACAATGCTCTGATGACGTTTCAAGTGCAACATTTCCCTCAGGTCTATCTGAATCCCTCCTGATAACTCAATGCTGCACGGTATTGTGAGCATTGACAGACCTTTGATGTGTTTATCTTAAATTTTGTGTCTATTCTGAGTAATTTTCTGTCTGATCTGATGCTTGTTTTCTGGCATGAGTTGATATTTCTGCTCAGATTCACTCCGTGAACATTCAAGGACGAAGTAGCTTCCATCAAACACACTGTCCCAGCCAACAAATCATAGAAATGGTGTGTCAGTGTGACTGATGTCCCCCCCTTACACACACACACACACACACACACACAGAGTCTCAGAGAAACATCTCTGATGAATGAATTTTAAACTCAGTGGTTTTATTATTTCATACACTTTTTCTACAAGAACTATTCACTTTTGCAAAACAACCAACCATCTGCCTTTATCTGTTTGATTTTCCTTAGTTTTAACTTTAGATGTCCTTTTGTAGAGTAGTAGCTATTTATCATTTTTGTTATATATGCGTCCTCCTACGTTTAATCCATTTTACACATTAAATTAGGATATGTTTTAGTTTTACAGGTCTGATAAGTCATTTCAGTTTATTTTTATAGCACCAAATTACGACAAGAGTCGTCTCAAGGCACTTCATATAATAAACATTCCAGTACAGGTCAATCCATTAAGCCAATCAGTAAAAAGTTTCCTATATAAGGAACCCAGCACATTGCATCGAGTCACTGACTAGTGTCAGAGTCTTTACAGCAATCCTCATACTAAGCAAGCATAAAGCGACAGTGGAGAGGAAAACTCCCGTTTAACAGGAAGAAACCTCCAGAGGATCCTGGCTCAGTATAAGCAGCCATCCTCCACGACTCACTGGGGACTGGATTATCATAAAATCATGAAAAAGGTCCAATTCTTGAGCCACCTTGGCTCTACCCCTCTGCAGTAAACAAAGCATTTGACCACCTTCAGTTGGTCCTGAACTCTACAGCGAGGCTCCTGACTGGAGCAAACACTCCTATTCTGACGCCTCTGCACTGGTTAGCCATTAACGCCCGGACTGATTTTAGAATCCTGACTAGAACTCAGGGCTCCACATGGTCAAGCTCCTCCCTACATTACTGAACCCATGTCTCTTCTCGGTGACAGCTGAGCTGCTACATGAATACCTTTTACTTTCCTGTCCACCTGACCTGATCTGAGGAGGACTCTGAGATTAAGCACACCAAGAAATGACATTAATTCAAATAAATAGCTGCACTGAGACTGCTAACTCCTAAAAAAAGACACAAGAGACTAAAGAGATTAAATGCTCCATTCATAAAAGTGTTCTTTTTTAAAAGTTTCATAAAAGCTGATAGAACATCTGTTAAACTGTTAAAAGTTACATCCATTGAAATAAGTTCCTGTGACAGTTGACTGGGACTTCCTGGAGCTATTTAAAAAAAATGCTCAACTTGATCAGAGGAAACCCAGTTTTGCGAAAGCAAGGTCATGCCTTCTTCATTGAAGTCAGCAAAAATGTCTTCCAGTCAGCAGAATGACTTGGTTCATGTCCAGAACCGCCCCTCGTCCAAGTATTGTGAGCCCAAACAGAAGCGGGGACGCTGTCCATCACGCAGACAGATACAACAAAGCTGAGCTCAGCTTTAACAGAACCATGTTTCCGAACACTCAGCTGATCCGAAACACTTCAAAACACAGTTTAGAATGGCAATAATTTATTTATTTCAGGACAGTCTTTGGCAGTGTAGAACAGGAAAGGACAATTTTTAAAAATAATGAAAATAATAAGGGAGAAAAAACTGGGATTTATTACGAGTCCAAATAGTTTTCACTGGAGCGTCGTCATGGTAACTGGGGAGAAATAACAGGTCAGGGAATCACGACACACTTATGTCGCTTTGAGAAAATAAACAGAGTTGTGTGTGTGTGTCTGTAATGGGTTCTGACATCATAATAGAGATCACAGGAAACTCTGGCACCTTCTGATAAAAATCTGAGTTCATTACTGTTCAGTTAGATGAAAAACACTTGGGTCAGTCACAAATGTAGGAATATATTTCTGGCCTATTAAGAAAAACACATGAAAATTCACAGATGAAATAGTAAAATGTTTAATAAAGAGGGAATAAAACCACGTGGCTTAGTGGCTCTTCCATACTCGCATCCTACTGGCATCTTCAACCAACCGGCCAGTGCAACTCTAAGGAAGGCAAGCAGGGACAAACATGCAAAAGGTGCTTTGCATGATGCTTTTTTGCTTCAGCAGGAAGCCTAACTGTCCTGTTCTTGTATGTGTGTGTGTGCTTTTCTTTCCCAACACTGATAATGGGTGGGGGTGTTCTGCATTTCAAAGCAGCTCAGATCGAATGAGAACACCCTGAAGACAGGACAGGTAAGGCCATGTCAGTTTGCTTGGACCTGATAAAACCAACTACTGGAGCCAATCTGAATGCTCTTCATTCATCACACAGCTCACAATATGAGTAGGACACACACGCACACGCACGCACACACACACACCCGCAGCCACCCACACACACAGTGCACACTGTGCACAAGCCAGTCAGGATGCCCGACTGGAGAAATTACTGACGTCAAGTCTTTGTTCGGTCAGTTATCATTCAGAATACTGTTAAAGGTTCATCCATTCATTAACACACTCAAACCGAACTGAACACTCAGTCCACTCATCTATTTCATCAGAAATCTTCTTTTTCTTATTATTCAACATGTTTCTGTTTGGACAGAAGTAAAGCTTTAGATGCACATCACAGGAAAACATTTCTATTTCTTAATCTGGAGGAGGTCAAGAGTTCGGCTGCTTCCACATGTGCAAAAAAACTCTACGAAGGGGTGAAGAGCAGAGGTCACTTTGGGTCACTTTGGGTCACTGTTGCACTGTTCCACGTTAAGGCTGGGCAGGCATAGGCACAGTTCATGCTGTCACCCAAACAAGTTGGAGGGTTAGTTGGAATGCAGAAACTCTTTGTTCTGTTTTTCTTCTCTTCCATTAATCTGTCCACCGTCGCGGCGCTGGGCTGGCGGTGACGGGTCACAGCGTGACTTTGCTGAGTCTGAGCGAGAGGCTGGAGCGGTACTGAGTCCGAGGGAGAGTGGTGCTGCATCGGCTGCGCAGCTGTACCGGCCGACCCGCCGAGCCCCGCGCATGCAGCAGGAAGTCAAAGTTGGCCGAGGTGTTCATGGCGTAAAAGACGTTGGCGTTGTCGGGAATCACCAGCTCTGGAGCAGAAGAACTCATGTCAGTGACGCTTCATAAAGATGTAACAGCAAACACAGCGACCACGTTCCAAGTGAGAGGAGTCGAACGCTCCACACAGAAACATTTACTCAAATCAAAAACAGCTTTTTACCTTTCTCCTCCGAGATGACTTGTACCAGCTCATACCCTTCCTCTGGCTCCGCCTCCAGGTTGTGCTTGGCCATGGCTCTAGATATGACGGCTGGGGTCTTGTCTTGACTGGTCAGCTACATGAAGACACACACACACACACATCAGGTCAAACTGGCTTTAACACACACAGCCCAAACATACAGAAAATAGATGTGGCTATTCCCATTGAGAAGGTGTGCCACCGTACCAGTATGCTCTTGTAGAGGTTGCCATTTCCATGCTCGAGGCTGACTCTTATGATGCATGCATCCTGAGCTTGGGTGTTGTAAGCCGGGCTTTGACTCTGTGAGCTGGGGGAGATGGGTGTGAGGGAGATGCAGCGTCTGTGGGTGCAAGGGTGCAAAGGGAGACAGGGGGAGGCAGGAGTCATGGAGACGCTGGTGGTCGAGGAGTTGGTGTCCATGGAGTGGAGCGAGGTGCAGGATGATGACTCATATAACTGAGGAGAAACAGATTTCTAAATTTAGAATTTTTTTTTTTAAATAAGCAGCTCAAATACCTCAGTAATAATAAATTAAGTGATGCCATTGTGACAGTTTTTATTTTTGGGGGGGGGGGGGGGGGGGGTAGATGATGTGAGGGTTCCAGCATCATCACAGTCATCAGAGAAATGTTGCTTAGCCAGAGTCTGCACAAAAAAAGCCAAAAGTCCCTCCAGCTCACCCCCGCAAACACACTCATGATGTTTTTAAAGAGCAAGTCACCCCTACCAGAGTCTAACTCTGCTCCCACTTCATGTTTGAAAAATGCAACAAATGCTGTTGCCTGGCAGACCGAGAGGGCGGAGCCGCTAACAAATACACACACACTCAGGCTCACGACAGCATTGTGACATCATAATGTACCAGTTTACATCATAGCATACTTCTTAGCCAATAGCGGTGGCAGATTTAAATTAAAATACAGTGCAGAGTTTTTACCTGACAACGGCACAACACTGCCAGTTTTTGGCAGAAAATTTAAATTTTAACTAAGATGCACTGAAGTGCCAAATTATTGACGACACGTGTCTGCAGCATGATTAGACACTCGTTTATTTAGTTTATCAGCAAAAAAAGTTTATTTGGGGTGACTTGCTCTTTAAGCACCAAATAACTTATTGCTCACAGATAAACATGAAGCAAATATATAAAAATACAGAGTCCAACTCTGGAAAAATACGACCCAAGGTGGATTTTTTATTTTTCTATTCAAGAAAATGTCCCATCCGTTTACAAGGCAGAAGCAGGACTGAAATGTTGTCCCACTTTTCTTGTTTTGTTGGGTTTATTGAATTGTTGTTTTTTATTTTACTTCTGGCACTTTTTGATTAACATTTTAAACTGTTGAATTTTTCACATAAAATGTTTAGCAGACAGATAAAACCATCTCTGTCTTTTCAGGCGTCAACCTTGAAATCAACTCTTGAAATAATTGTCTTTGTTAATGAGAGGTTTTGTTTTCTGGATGTTAGAGAAAATTTAACTGGTGTTTCTGATGAAAAGCCCCCAAAAATGCATATTTCTGCTTTCTACTGTGACTGAAGCCAAACGTTTCAAACAGAGAATATGTGTCACTTTGACATAGATTAGATAGCGTTGTTGTAAGTGTGAAATATTGTTTTTCAATTTTTTACCAACTTTTATGTTTTAAAGAGAGACTAGGCAGTTTTGGTTTGCTTTTAGTACCCCCTAGTGTTTGTTTAGTAGAACCAAAAGCAAAAGTTATCTTCTCACTGTGCGTTTGTCTTTTAAACACCTTAATTCATCCATCCATCCATTCTCTTCTGCTTATCTGGAGTTGGGTCACGGGGCTACAGAAGAAGCAGAGAGGCCCAGACTTCCCTCTTCCCGCCACTTGGGCTAGCTCTTCTGGAGGAATCCCAAGGCGTTCCCTGGCCAGGCGAGAGACATGGTCTCTCTATCATGTCCTGGGTCTCCCTATAGGCCTCCTTCTGGTTGGACGTGTCTGGAAAACCTCACTAGGGAGGTGTCCAGGAGGCATCCTAATCAGATGCCTGAGCCACCTCAACTGGCTCCTCTTGATGTGGAGGAGCAGCGGGTCTACTCCGAGCCCCTCCCGGATGATCACCCTATCTCTGACAACATGCGGAGAAAACTAATTTCCGCCGTTTGTATCAACAATCTCGTACTTTCAGTTACTACCCAATGCTCGTGACCATAGGTGAGGGTAGGAATGTAGATCGACCAGTAAATTGAGAGCGTTGCCTTCTGGCTCAGCTCTGTCTTCACCACAACAGACCAGTACAACGCCCACATCACCGCAGATGCAGCACCAATCCACTTATAGATCTCGCGCTCCTCCACTTGGGGCAGGACCCAGGGGTGGACTGGCTCATCTGGCACTGTGCCGGTGCGCCGCTTAGCCAAGTGGGCCGCTTACCCAGCTTGGGCCATCAAGAGTCCGCGAGCAACAAATCCCCCCCCCCCCCCCCCCCCCCCACACAAATTCGACCCCCCTCCACCCCCACCCCACTCTGAGGGCCCACAGTTCATAAAAACGCCAGGGCCCAATTTTGGTCCCAGTCCACCCCTGGCAGGACCTCCTCCCTGACCCGGAGGAGGCATTCTACCTTTTTCTGACGCCTTAATCTAACAGCTGAAACATCTCCCAGTCTTCCTTAGTGTCTACAGGAGTGGTTCATCACAGAAATAAATAAACCAGCTGTGTTCACGATCGAAAACATGCAGGAAACATGCTGGAAGCAGATCGCAGCGCCAGGTATGTCGGCCCCATTTTTTTCAGCTTCCACACCAGCAACTCGGAAGTTGCAAACGTCGTATTCTGGCCACAGAGGGCGGTGGGGGTCTGAGTGACGTTTTATTAACCCTGTAAAGGCTCATTTTAGCTCATACTGGCTTAAGAACGTGATTTAAAATTTTGAAAAAGTTGCCTAGTATCCCTTTAAGGGCTAAATTTATTGGAGTTGTTGTATAAATGCTATAAAAACATAATTCTACCTTGTTTTGATGGGAGAGTTGTGAGTCAGATGTGTGTGTTGGTGTTGTGTGTCCCTCGCTGTCCGACGGGCTGCTGGAGTCACTGGAGGAGACGCTGACAGAGTCCATGCTCTCCCCGGAGCTGCCAGTAGGGGGCGAGCGAGGCGTCTCTCTGACTGGGGAGCTGGCTGTGTTACTGTCTGTTCCAAGAAACAGCCTGGACGACAGAGGCAGGGAGATACACGTTAGTGGAAGAACTTTAATGTTGCATCGATCGCTCATCTGTTTTTCTGAGGGAACTCACAGGCTGAGTCTCTTCACCATGCTCTTACGAGTTTTGAGTAAAGTCGGGCTGCTGTCGCCGAGGCCTTCAATCTCACAAGACATGGCATAGCTGCAAAGCAGAGTAGTAATGGTGAACCCTCAACATAATTTAAAAAGTCACTACCACATCATGTGCGTGGGGATTTTTATGAACTGGATTAGCAGTAGTCAGAGAAGGCAAACAAATACAAGCACAACGGGCCAGTGGGGAGTTGAGGTGTGATGAGGGGAAGTAGTAAAAACTGAGGGAAAGAAGCTGCAGTAATTTTCTTAATGGTGAAGAGAAGGAAAAAGAGAAGGCATCCAGAGTAAAGGCAAACAGGAGCAGTACCTCTCCTCCTCGCTGAGTTGAAGCTGGCTCTTAAACCAGCGGAGGAAAGCCGTGTCTGGAGTCAGGCAGTAGCTGTTACAGGCTGACTGGAGCAGCTTAATCTGAGCTATGACCTCAAACTCCTGCAGAGACCAGAGAAAAGCAGCACACGGGCTTAAAACATCAAACTCGTTACTTTAGCACCGCCTCTCAATCATTGTCAGGGCTTATGGTGTCAGAGGAAACCCTCACCCTGCGTCTCTTCTCAAAGTTGATCAGGCCACCCTGCAGAAGATGAAAAGAAACACGCCGTCAGAGCTGGGACCCCCATACCAACAGCTGCTTAAGCAAAGTCCATCATTTGGTTCTTTTTGGCACACAGAGTAATAAAGATTTGTTTTTTGACATTTTTTGATAAACACAGAACGAACCAGGGATATGTATTTTTGAAATTCTGGCGATACGATACACATCACGATACAGGGGAGACGATACGATAAATCACGATATGTTGCGATACATTCAGTCAGACGTTACAATTTATTTTACTGAATTTATTGTAAGAATGTTCAGTAAACAGTCCAAACTGATACGTAACATGTTTAACATGAGGTATCTGAACCATGAGGGAGGGATTTACATTTCAATGGTGGAAACAAAACTCGTTGCACACTACTGCCAACTAGCGGGTGGTGATTGAATTGCACAAAACGAAAAGAAAATACACAAATGTTTGCATGTAAATTCTTTCAAGAATTAGATACACAGCTTTTGAATATCAATGTAATAATTACAGGGAAAAAATCACGATATATTGCCATATCGATATTTCCGATACACGGCTTTTGAATATCGATATAATATTGCTGGAAAAAATATCACGATATATTGTCATATCGATATTTTCTTACATCCCTAGAAAGAACGTACCAAATGAAGCTGCCTAAGCAAACAGAAGGTGGCCCACCCCAAAACAAACCAACAGAAATCCTCTTTCATTAATGGAAACTTCAGGTCTGCAGAGCTCCTTCAACCTACAGACATATGCTCTCCTATCCCACACAACACAGACAGCAGGTGATTTATTTTTACCTCCACTAGGTCTGGCAGGGCTGTGTCCATCATGGTCAGATCGGTTAGAAAAGTCCCCAAGTATGGTATTGTTCCCTGCATCGCTCCCTGTGGGGAAAGTCCTTTTGATTAACAAAGTAATCTGACATCCCTGAAGCATGCTCAAGAGGAAACGGTTTAGGCTCACATATCTCCTAAAAGGGGAGGTTTGTTTTTACCCTTTTTTTGCAGACAGGTTTCGGCTAACGCTGTAGCCTTTCTCAGAGTGTTTGTCAAAACTTGTCAGCCAAAAAAAAAGAAGGTAAAAACAAATCTTCCGCTACGCTGTGTTTAAAAAAGAATTAAAATAATGGAAGGATTACACAGAGCGAACATACAAGAGCCCCAAAAGGAGAGGGGGGGGGGGGGGGATTGGCCCCCAAGCTATGTATGTTTCTTATCAGAAATAATGACACAGACACCTCGATGAGCAGGCCTATTTGATCACTTTGGTCTTTAGGTAAACATTGTAGTACTTGTTGGGACACAGCAATCAATTTCCCTCGGGGATTAATAAAGTATTTTTGAAGGTAGATATTAGTACATGTGTTATTGATGAAGCGTAAATGTACATGGAACATTGAAAATGTTGTGTTCTAGGTGGCAGCAGAGCACTACTAACATATATAGAGGTGTAGTGTAGAGTTCAGGGGAAGCGCTGCTGACGATACAGGATGATTGGTGTGTGTATATACACATCCTTACTGCTGTAACAAAGGTCATATGGATTAGGTCGGGTTTTGAGTAAAGGGGCAACGGTGGCACAGGAGTTAAGTGCTCGCCTCGCAATCGGAAGGTCGCAGGTTCGAGACCCGCTCAGTCCGTCGCTGTCGTTGTGTCCTTGGGCAAGACACTTAACCCATGTTGCCTGCTGGTGGTGGTCGGAGGGACCGGTAGCGCCAGTGCTCGGCAGCCTCACCTCTGTCAGTGCGCCCCAGGGCAGCTGTGGCTACATTGTAGCTCATCCCCACCAGTGTGTGAATGTGTGTGTGAATGACTGATTGTGTTGTCAAGCGCCTTGAGGGGTTCCAGGACTCTAGAAGGCACTATATCAAATACAGGCCATTTAGGTTACTTCCTGCCTGCTTTCTCCCAACTTTCTTTTCTTCATGACGAGCGATTTGTCACGATTCAATTAATATGACCGTAACTAAGTGTGTAACTGAGGCTCACCATTTCTCCCCAAAAAATATAAAGATCCAAGAGGATATTGTTGTTAAACAGGAACATAAAGAGTTTTAAACATTTTAAAACAATGACATTTGAAATAACTGTATTCGTTGTTTGATATTTTGTCTTTTCCTCTGAAATGTTTGTGCTTCTCAAATTTGAGGTCAATGTGCTGGATGCACAGGTCTGTTGCTTTTTAATCAAAACCATTGAAGGAGCAATGCAAATGCACAGCAGGCTAGTCACTACTGGGACGAATTTGGTGTGCCATCCGAACCCCCCATCTCCCCTTGAACATTTTCTGGTAGCAGGTTTGTTTGTTTGTTTATTATTATTTGCTATGCTGGACCAGATTGAATGAGTTATAATGCCAGATATGAATTGAGATCCACCAGACACACAAAGTGATTAATACAACTTACAAATGCAAATCTACAACAAACCCTCTCATCTACAGCCAGAGCTGCTAGGACTCAATATTCCATATTCAATCATTTACTTTGTGGTCTTCACAGATGGTGACGCAGACTTGTAAATCAGACCTTCGGTTTAACATGAGAACAGTACACAGTGCACCGGGTAAACACAGATAAGCACATGGTTTCATTATCCTGGAGAAGCAAGAATTTCTCCTTACAGTGCACTGTTAGTGCAGAATGTGTCATCCACTTGTGCGTCTTGTATTTTTAACACTCGAATTAGCCTCACCATTTCCTTCTGCAGCTGGAGTCTCTTGTGGGTGCGTTTCTGGTGCTCCTTGGCACAGCTCTCCAGGCTGGCAAACTTTGAAGTACCTTCCTGGAAGGTGAACAAAATTAGCTTTTGTCCTCAAGATTCAATCCAGTGAGTGAAAAAATGCTCCTGGGGCTTGTGCACGGAGTGGTTAAGAGCCTCGGCAACACATGAATCTAATGAATGGGTTTGGACTGCAGTCGTAGGACTCACCCTCATGAGCAGCTCTCTGCTGGTAAGGTAGTTGTTGTGGTCGGAGAAAATGTCTGAGAGCTCCTCGAACGTCTGCATGCTGTCTCTGCGTGAGACAGATTCATTTCAGAAGATGAGATTAGATGCAGCAGATACAATGTGCACGTGAATTAAGATGAACCCATATCCGCCTATGACAAATACACGTTTGAGAGACTGGAGGCTCACTTGTGCACGCATGCCCACACTCTCTTCAGCCTGTAGAGAGGATTGGACTGCAGCGCTGACACGATGGCTCGCAGAGATGAGAAGTTTTTGCGTATTCGACACTCCTGTTAAAGAAAAAAACAAACTAAGGCAGTCAGAACTCAACTCAGTGTGGCAGATTAGACCAGTCTGTGGCTGCGCGTCTCTCCCTGACCTGAGCGATGTCGATCCAGCGCTGGATGACCCGTGCCCTGACATGCGGTCTGAGCTGCCTGTGCTTCAGCACCGTGCTGACCACGCAGGCCGCCACGGCGTTGAACTGAGTGATGGTGGCCCGGATGGTGGGAGCGGTGTGCTTGTTGTCTTTCTTGTCCCTCTGAGACCAGATGGAGCCCAGGCAGTGGTGAGGTACAACCTTTTTAAACAGCAGCTGGAAGAAAAAAAAAGACTACATAAAAACACTGACCCTCCTTTTTTTCTCTTTGCCTTCACCCGACCTCCCTCCACTCACCGCATCCATGTAGGTCAGCTGCTCGGCCACCAGGTCGGCCTCAAATGACAGGAAGTCATCCTGGACCTCGATCTCTACCTCTTCTTCTTCCCCAAGGCAGAAAGAGCCGTTGCCGTGGAAACCAGCTGAAAGCAGAGGAAATCAGATAAATGAGTTAGTAATGACTTTTAACTGATAAAATCCAAAACATATGTAAAGATGGGGTTTAGAAACAATACCATCGCTCTCGTCCATGCTGGCCTGACCCTGCAGCTGCTCCAGCAGACTCTCTGCCCGTCTGAGAGCCTCTGAACCAGGAAGAGCTTTGCGTAGGTAGTCCATCAGCCTGTGGAGGCTGGGGTAGTCTGGAGCCTCCTGGAAGTCTTCAGGACATTGATCCAACCAGGCACACAGAATAGAAGCCAAGGCACTGAGGGGACAGGTGTGATCAGTAAAACGCCTTAAAGTAACTTTCTTTAAAGGTGTGGTCCACGGAGTTTTTCATGCAGGCTGAACATGCAATAGCTTCTGATAGAAAATAGATAGTGAAATGCTAGGATTTGAAAATCCTTACAAATCTATGTCACACTGAGAATTTGCATTGATGGCCCTGCTCTTCTTGGCTCAAACCCGCCTACAGGAAGGCTCTTTTCATTTTTATTGCAGAGAGGAGAGAAAGCCGACACTGTCTTGATGATAGAGACTTTGCAACATGGCTGAATGCATTCTGTTAGCCAATCAGAAGTAAAGTGTGAGCACATCATTCTATACGTTTACATGCAGCCAATATCCGGGTTATGATCGGGTTAAGGTCGGCATTCGGGTTTCTGAGTTGATCAGAATAACCCGTTTACAAGCATAAATAGAAAGAGTTACCGCTAACTTGCATAACCCGATGTAAATGCGGACGTTGGGGTAGCGTCAAGACGTATGGACTATGTCCAGACGCAATATGCGTCATTTCCGGTTCTTCTTGTTCCGGTATCCATGAAAACAACAACATGTTTCCAAGTCCGGAAGAGATAGCGACCGCGTTTGTTTGTGCTTTAGTTTCTTCGTCACTCCGAAAGTGTGGTGCTGTGCCGCGACTCGCCATGTTGCTCCCAACTTGTTGTTTACTTCCGGTGTTCTGGCGCATACAAGACGTCTCGCTACTCAAAAGACCAAGATTCCTTGCGAACAGAGCATGCGCAGAACACACGCTTTGATGGGGATATCCCGATATGCGTTTACACGACCAAACATTCGGGTTAGAAAAGGGTTACCCCAGGTGTAGTAACCGGGTTTTTAAAAACCCGGTTATGAGCATATCCGGGTTTTTGGCGGTGTTTACAAGGACCTGCGGAACCGGGTTATTGTGAATATTCGGGTTTTAAAAGGGTTACTGGCTGCATGTAAACGCACTCATTAATAATAATGAGCAATCCTGATGTTTTCAGCCCACCTCTGCACCAGCTAATTTCTGCATCTCAGAGCAGGAGCATCACAGCTGTTCATGAGGCATTGAGTTACAGTAGAGAACACTGCAAATGTATTGAAGCAACAAGTAAACCACACCTTTAAAAACTGTGTCACATAGAAAACTGTGTCTCACTTTCTGATGGCTTCGCTGCTTTCAGAGCCATCGTGCCCATTTTCCTCCACACTCCCACAACTGCCACAGAAATGTACAAAAATATAGATTTAAAAATGTACACCTTGTTCTCTTATCTGTTTATGTAACCAGTGTAAAAAAAAAAACTTCATCCCAGTCTACCTGTCTAGCAGCAGCTGCAGAACAGTCTGCGTACTGGCGAAAGCTCTGTAGGTGGAGAGAAAGATGGAGGTGTAGGTGAGGTCGTTGTCTCCGAACGCCGTCAATAACGTCTCCACCAGGCGCTCCAGAGTTCCAGCACGAATGCTTCGGATTTTGCACGTTTCCAGCTGGCTCACAGTGTGGCCAGGAGGCAGTCGATCGCCCTCTGCCTAAACACACACACAAACACACACAGCCTCACAATTAAAGAAACAACTCTTGGGTCTACAGACAGCTCCAGAACATTGTTTTCTCTGGAGATTCCTGAATCTAGATGCTACATTTGCTGGCATGTGCAAAAATATCCGAGAAAATCTTACAAACCCCTAAAAGAAGGAAGCGTGACCTATATTCAGCCCTGATTTTTCCAGATGTGTCAGATAATTGTGTCTTCAGAGAAACCGAGTGAGAAGCTAAAAGAGGGTGGCACGGACGTTCAGGGGAGGGAGGAACCTTCATGAAGTTTGTACGCTGCAACAGGAAACGCTCCAATCTGCTTTTAATCACAGCGAGCACCCTACCTCCTCCAGCGTCTCCCTCCAGACACAGAGGAGGACAGCCGGCTTCTCCCAGCACTCCCCTCTGATAAGAGCTCACACACTGCTGATCCTTATCTCTGCGAGGTGATCCACCGTGCACAGACACTTAAATCAATTCAAGTTTATTTATATAGCGCCAAATCACGACAAGAGTCGTCTCAAGGCACTTCACATAGTAAACATTCCAATATAGTTCAGTTCATTAAGCCAATCAGAAAAAAGTTTCCTATATAAGGAACTCAGCACATTGCATCAAGACTTGATGCAATCCTCATACTAAGCAAGCATGTAACAACAGTGGAGAGGAAAACTCCCTTTTAACAGGAAGAAACCTCCAGAGGATACTGACTCAGGCCCTGTCCACACGTAGCTGGGGATCTGCCAAAACGTAGATATTTTTCTACGTTTTGGCCTGTCATCCACACGAAAACTGAGTTTTTTCACATGAAAACTGATCTTTTTAAAAACTCCGGCCAAAGTGAAGATCTGCGTTTTCTCCGTTTTGGGTGTCTGCGTGTGGACAGACAAAACCGGAGTTTTAAGGTCCGCAACGTCACTTTCCGTGACAAAAAATGCTGACATCACGTGTGCGACCTGTGTTTACACTAGCCGACAGCATGGATGCCCTCAGAGCTGCGCTTGCTTTATCAGTTGTCCAAGCGCTTTTTGCTTGTTTGTTTTTGCAAGCAGAATTACTGCTCCTTGCGGAAGACCACAGATGAAGGACGAGGTTACGAACGGGGGAAGTACTGCCGCCTACAGGTCTGGCATGTCCTTAACAACGTATTTATCCAGGTACGTGTGGACAGAGTTTCTTTTTAAAACGAGGTGGTGTGGATGCAAGTTTTTGGAGGGGCGGATATTCGTTTTTAAAAAACCCGGCTACGTGTGGACTAAGCCTCAGTATAAGCAGCCATCCTCCATGACTCACTGGGGATCGAGAAGACAGAGCAGACACACACACACACACCAACACCGACCCACCCACACACACATCCACACACACAACATATATACCAAGTAATGTTTGTGTTTACATTGTGAGTTCTGAGTAAATTTTCTATTTGGTGAGAGAACTTTATTGTATTTATCCTAGTGAATCTATGATTAAACGGGTAAACTAGTAGCACATTCAATGTAAAAGAAAGTAAAATGTTATTATCAGGAAAGGGAAAACGTTTAAGTGGTTAGCAACAGTGTTCAAGCCAATGGCCTCCTCATTGAGGCCACCACAGCTCAGCACCATTGAAATCACTCATCTAACTACTGTAAGTACAACAGCACTGATAGTCAGAGGCTTGTGCACACTTTTATTTTAATTAGCTTTAATCCAGTTGACAGTTATGTTACTGCCAATACATCAATACAGCCTTAAACCATTGCAGCTGCGACCTTTATTCTTTTTCTGTGCCCCCACATAAAAACACCAGCTTGCCAAAACACAAGATCTTCATTTGTCCTCATAGAAAAGCTAAATCTTTTGTTTCTGTTGAGGAAAAACAAAAAGAAACTGTTCCTAACTGGAGCCTCTGTGCTGCACTGTGCAACATCTCATTATGTGGTTATAAACAGTCCAGGAGAGGAAACAGTAATGCCACATATTCACTGGAAAAGCCCTTAATTCTCAGTTTTTCTCATACCAGAATTTGGTAAAACACGAAGCGAGCTTCTTTACTGGCAGCTGCAAAAGTCAGGAAATCACATGAGCTGTTTTTTTTTGTATCAGGCGGCTAATAGGTGCTATCTAAACTGGCTCAAATGTTCAACAAGTGAAGCAGTTGCTGCTTTTATAAACCATCTGTACATGATCAAATCCAGCGAGATTCTGTTCCACTAAAAAAAAAACATCTGATTTGGACTTTTTTCACAGCAGCAAGCCAGGAAAGTGTCAAAAAAAAAAAAGAGGAGGCAGGTTTTCTGCTGTTCTTGTGCTGCTGGACTCACCCCCAGCCATCTCGCTCCCTTGTTGGCCGCCTGCTGGATCTGAACCCTCTTCAGTGTCACGTTATAGATGGCTCCTTCCTCAACTTCCTCCCCCCAGTCCTGCACCGAGCTCTGGAAGAAGCAGGAAAAAACCATGAAACCTTCTGCAGGAGCGCACGCTCGACTTTCGCTTCCACATTCATCCTTCTTGCTGTTTCATCAAACTGGAACTGCTGAAAG